AATGTATCTTTTATTATGTTGATTTCATTTGTATATATTTAATCAAGGCCAAAGTGGATGATTGACTCATTTCATATTAGAAATAATCGCAGGAAATTTTTGGACAATTCGGATTTCTATTTCTCAATAATATTTCACGATCAAAACAATTGGCTAAATCCCGTAAAATCATTTCATAGAAGTTTATTGATATCTTCTTTTTATAAAGCAAAATAACTTCGATTTTTGAATAATCCACATCACTTCTGCTTCTATTGGAACACAATTTTTTAATTATAAAAAAAACTTGTTTAGTGACTTGTTGTGATCATTTGGCAAGATTGAATGGTCCTTTGTTATGAAAAAATAGTTTTATTTTATTTTAACAAAATTGAATGATTTTTATACTTAAAAAAAAGAGTATAGTAACTTTACTGTAATAAAATAAAAGATAATTAGTCACATATAAAGTTAATTCTATTTTTCAATCTTTTTTTAAAAAAGATCCCCTAGTTTTTTCCAACTTATAATTAATAATATTACACTCTTATACGGAGAAAAAAGACCTAATAGTTATTTTCCATCTTTTATTCATGCGGCCATTAAGACAGCCAATTATTCATCAATTTCTTTAGCTTAGATTCCTTTAGGAAGACCTTACTAGGTTAGCTGGTTATAGTTATACGGATATTAATAAAGTAAATATATTAGTTATATATTTTTCTAAATATTATATTAATTTTGTATAATGTACATGAATAATTTACCTTCTAATCAATCACCAAACGTAATATCACGTATGCACCTTCAAATCAACTACCAATCGACCCCTTCATTTGTGAAACATTTCCTCTTACAAAAGAGGTATGATCTAGTTAGTTTCCTTCACTTAGTCTTCCAACACATTTGATCAAATTCTAAAAATTAATGGAACTTAAGTCTGTACTCACGATTTCACTATTAAAAGAATTTAATATAATGTTATCTTTAAGAAGCACAATACGTATAATTAAATGTAATGATTCAAAATTTATATGCTCGATAAAATTTAAGAAAAAACATCTCAAACTCTACTTAATTAACGAAGAGAGTTTAGTAGATATTACATTATTTATGCTAGAAATACAACCAAACTTTTTTTTTTGTCTTTCTTTTAAATTTTGTAAATGTAAATAAGGAGATAATATTAAAAAAAATTCAATTTTTTTTTATATATTTTGACTTTTATTTTGTCACCCCTAAATATGAACATGAAAGAACCCTATGTTAAAAAAAAAAAAAAAAAAAAACCCTATGTTAGTAAAATCAAGATGTTTACACATACAAATTCACTCTCAAATCAATATTTTGAAGTGAAAACTCCTCACATTGACAACTCTGTAGCTTCTTAAAGCATAAACCCTAACATTGCTTAAACCCTTTTTTTGAAAATAACTATTTGATTCTTGGGGGTTGTTGAAATTTATTCACCCAAATCTTTGTGTTTTTCCATTATTTGAGCAATCGATCAGAGGTATATTATTGATTTATCTTTGTTTTGTAGGTTTCTCCATTTGTCACAGAAAAGATTCAAACTTGTGAAAATCTTTATACTACTATTGACTCAGAAGATTGTTTTTTTTTTTTTAATTTCAAATTTAGTTGCCACCCAGTTCTTGTATTTCCTTGCTTTGAGTTGTATTTTCCATTTGAACTAGGAAAGTTTCAATCTTTGAAAGCAAGAACATAGAAATTTGGTTTTTGTGCCAAAGCTAGAACTTCAGTTGTTCTGTTTTAAAATACTTCTGAAGGACTGTTGTAGAATAATTATGTTGAGAAAATATATTCTGCAGCCTATTTGTTTGAAGCTGAGGATCTATCGGTAAACATCCTAGCCTCCCTAGACCCCACTAGTGGAATTACACTGGGCGTGTTGTTGTTGTTGCAGCTGTATTTATTGTCTGGTACCTAGTGTTCTGTGTTCTATTTGTTTCTTTGTTTCAGGTTGAGATGATTTTTCCTTTCTACTGTAGGTCAAGACTTCTGGATTTGTCTACTTGACAGGTTGATACTCAGTTCAGGAGGACAATGACATAGCCGCAGCTTTAACGTGCTAGGATGAGGTTACAATTGATTAATAGAGGTACATAAATCTTTATTTTTAAAAGCTACATGTTTCCTAATTATTTGGTTGCCTTTTCCTTGGGAGAACTTGAATGGTTGGAAACATTTCTTGTCCAGTGCCTTATCTGTGTTGCATCGCCTTGCTGTAAGACATCATATTTTGATATTAATTTATATAGCTCAGCTACAAAATCTTGGTTTTTAAATACCTACATGATGCAATAATTGGAATTTGATCTATCTTACGCAGTTTTTAGTACATAGCAGTAGGAGCAGCGCTTATTCCTGTGGTCCTGCTGATCTTTCTAAAACTTCCATTCTGAAAAACTTAGCAAAGACGAATTACTGAATATTAGAATGAAGCAGGTCTAATTGAGCGGAATGGTTATTGGTGATTCATATAGCCAACCTCAACTTGTTAAGGATTGAGTGTAATTGTTATTGTTGTTGTTACTGTTTAAGTACCTACAAAATGGTTATTAATTAGGATTTAAAGATACTTCCGTTCAAATTTACTCAAAGAACTTGGGAAAAGAAGAAACAACTTATATAGTGAAGGAAGGGGGTGAGTGGTGGGGAATTGGTCTAAATGCTGTTCCACTAGAGGTACTGAAACAACTTATATAATGAAGGAAGGGGGTGAGGGGTGGGGAATTGGTCTAAATGCTGTTCCAATAGTGGTACTTATCTTTCTGGCAGCCAGGAGTATTTTATTCCTTGTAGTCTCCTTTTCTTTCATTGCAGCACTGTATCTTAGTTGCTTAAGCTTTTTTTTTAATCAGGTGTATCTTAGTGGCTTACTCTTTTTATGTTCTGCTTTAGGATTGCGATCTCAGTATGACTTAAAACGCACCGCTGTATTTGCTAATTGCAAGAGGTTCTCAGTTTCAAATAATGGATATTCCAACTTTGATAGTCCTGTCAGCTCCTTCATTCCAGAGAGAAACCCGGAATTTTCGAGCCAATTAGAGAATGTGCAGAATGGAGTAGATAACACACATGGGTGGAGTGAGGCCTTTTCAAACAAATTGGAGGGTTTAAGGCAAACAGTGGATTCTGTTTGCAAGATCTTGCAGAGTGATCCTTGGGGACCTTCTATAGAGATTGCTTTATCCAAATGTGATGAAAATCCGAGTACCGAAGTGGTCACTGGAGTATTAAGGCGACTAGAGGATGTCAACACAGCATTAAACTACTTCGGATGGGCTGAGAAGACAACCCTCCGAGCACATTGCCCTGAAGCATATAATTCACTTCTCATGGTTATGGCCAGGACTAGAAATTTCGAATATCTGGAACAGATTTTGGAAGAAATGAGTCTAGCTGGATTTGGCCCATCGAACACTGTATCGATTGAGTTGGTTGTTAGCTGTGTAAAGAAGCGAAAAATTAAAGAAGCGTTTGATCTAATTCAAACCATGAGAAAATTTAAGATTCGTCCTGCATTTTCTGCATATACAACTGTAATAGGTGCGCTTTCTACTGTACAAGAACCTGATCTCATGCTCACCCTCTTTCATCAGATGCAGGAATTAGGATATGAAGTAAATGTACATTTATTCACGACTGTAATTCGAGCTTTTGCTAGGGAGGGTAGAGTTGATGCTGCTCTGTCCTTGTTGGATGAGATGAAAAGCAATGCTTTTGATGCAGACATTGTCCTCTATAATGTTTGCATTGACTGTTTCGGCAAGGCTGGTAAAGTTGATATGGCCTGGAAATTCTTTCATGAGTTGAAGGCACATGGTATATTACCTGATGATGTGACTTATACCAGTATGATTGGGGTTCTTTGCAAAGCGAATAGACTGAATGAAGCTGTAGACTTGTTTGAGCAGTTGGAGTTCAACAGGACTGTTCCATGTGCATATGCTTATAATACCATGATCATGGGTTACGGATCTGCTGGAAAATTTGATGAAGCATATAGTTTGCTTGAGAGACAAAGACAAAAAGGGTCAATACCAAGTGTGATTGCATATAATAGTCTTCTTACTTGCCTTGGGAAGAAACAAAGAGTGGAAGAGGCATTAAGGATATTTCAGGACATGAGGAAAGATGCTGCACCTAATCTTTCAACCTATAATATTCTCATAGACATGCTCTGCAGGGCTCGGAAACTTGATGTTGCTCTAGAAATTCGTGATACCATGGAGGCAGTTGGCTTGTTTCCTAATGTATTGACTGTGAATATAATGATTGATCGTCTATGCAAGGCTCAACAACTTGATGAAGCATGTTCTATCTTCGAAGCTATGGATCATAAAATTTGTAGACCAAATGAATTCACATTTTGTTCTCTGATAGATGGACTGGGTAGGCGAGGTAGAGTTGATGATGCATACAGACTCTATGAACAAATGTTGGATTTTGATCTTACTCCTACTGCCATTGTCTATACATCTCTCATCAGGAACTTTTTCATGTGTGGGAGAAAAGAAGATGGCCACAAAATCTACAAGGAGATGGTGCGTCAAGGAGCTTCTCCCGACCTTACCCTCCTTAATACTTACATGGATTGTGTTTTCAAAGCTGGTGAGACAGAGAAAGGTAGGTCTCTGTTTGAGGAAATCAAAACTTGGGGATTCACTCCAGATGTGAGGAGCTATTCTATACTAATCCATGGCCTCATAAAAGCCGGCTGTGCTCGGGAAACGTATGAGCTGTTTTATGCAATGAAGGAACAGGGGTATGTGCTGGATACTTTTGCTTATAATACTGTTATAGATGGATTCTGCAAATCAGGTAAAGTTAATAAAGCTTATCAGCTGCTGGAGGAGATGAAAGTAAAAGGTCTGGAGCCAACTGTAGTAACATATGGCTCTGTCATCGATGGGCTTGCTAAGATTGACAGACTTGATGAAGCCTACATGCTTTTTGAAGAAGCAAAATCTAAAGGTGTTCCTTTAAATGTGGTTATATACAGTAGTCTAGTAGACGGATTTGGTAAAGTGGGTAGAATAGACGAAGCATATCTAATCATGGAAGAATTGATGCAAAAAGGCTTGTCTCCAAATGTATACACATGGAATTGTTTGCTTGATGCACTAGTGAAGGCTGAAGAAATAGACGAAGCCCTTGTTTGCTTCAAGTCAATGAAGGAGTTGAAGTGCACTCCGAATACTTTTACTTATAGCATAATCATTAATGGTCTTTGTAGAGTAAGAAAATTCAATAAAGCATCTGTGTTTTGGCAAGAGATGCAGAAAGAAGGATTAACACCCAATATGATCACCTATACAACCATGATCTCTGGGCTTGCAAAGGCCGGAAATGTATCAGAGGCTGATAAAATCTTTCAAAAATTCCAGGCCAAGGGAGGTAAACCAGATTCTGCTTGTTACAACACTATGATAGAGGGGCTAAGCATCGCGAACAGGGCGATGGAGGCATATGAGCTATTTGAAGAAACAAGATTAAGAGGGTGTAATATATATACAAAAACTTGTGTTATTCTTTTAGATGCATTGCACAAGGCAGAATGTCTTGAGCAGGCTGCAATCGTTGGTGCTATATTGAGAGAAATAGCAAAGTCGCAGCATGCTTCAAGATTTTTGTAATTTTGATATAGGTACTCGTCACCATAAAGAAATTTTCGATTTCATGATTCAAAGGTCTGATAATCTTTTATTTCTTAATTATTCGGCAAACAATTGCCACATAAATATATCTTTTTGTCGTGCTTTCTGTTCTTCCTCTCTGCTGTACACGCGCACATAACCCTCATTTACACATATATAATCTATATTTTTAAATGTTTTCTATGGGGAGTCAGTTGAATCTTCTGTTACTAAGCAGCCCCGCATACATGGTGTCTAGATGCCTAACAAGGCTCAGTGCTCACCATTGAACAGTCATGGTAGAACAATGTATTATTGTCATTCTCTCGGCAGAAACTCCAAAATCATTGCTGAATTGGAAGTCAAAGTCGCTCATTCTCAAAACTCACTCCTGTATCTGTAGTAGTTTTAACTACGCGTACACTTCATTGGCATTTATCAAGCTTAATGGTTGTGTGGTTAATGTTTAGAATTTACAGCCACTGTATATCTCAGTGTGTGAATCTTGTTATTAGCCTGACATTGATTCTTTGTATATTAAAAGGTGTTTGACTATGTTGGCTTGACACTTGACAGGTTATACTGGTATCATTCATGAGGTGACCTGGATGATTTTATCTTGGATAATGTGTTTTTATGGATGGACAGAGAGTTAATGAATGTCAATGGAAGTGTATTTGATGAGTTCTAGTTTGGAATTGTCCTCTTCATGTAACTTGAAAGCTCTGTTGCTCGAAAAGCTTATGCCTCATTCTATTTGTCAGGGGCTGTATATTGCCTGTTTATAGAGTTCCCTTCACTCTGAGATGCTGTGTTCCAATTTCAAAGCTACTCTCATAGGCCAACGCACAACAGGCTGTATATTGCCTGTTTGTTGTAGAGTTCCCTTCATTCTGAGAGGCTGTGTTCTAATTTCAAAGCTACTCTCAATGGCCAACACGCAGCACAAGGAGAAACAATCCAATCAAACTATCTGATAAGGTAGTCTCAAGGCCATTGGAACTTCATGCTTCTTTATTTCTCTATGTTTCTTGCCTTAGAACTGTGCAAGCCTATGAACATGGTCCATGTCCATGCTCTGAAACTGCAGAAGCTCATGCGGTAAGTGAATGCCACACGAAGTCTGTGATTGACAATTCCCCACTAATTTTGAGTTCGACACTCGGGAATTCACATGAAAAAAAATGAGCAACTCTCAACGAAAAAGTGCTCTCTAAACCGAACGTGAGGCATGGCTGCCCTTTGTTGTCATTTGTTTCCATAAACGCTCTAGAATCTTGCTTGTGACGACAATCATTTAGAGATGGTGTCTTTTTCATCCTCCAAACACCTCATCTTCACTACTACCTCCGTATCCCCCATATACCCCCCCCCCCCGGCTACGTAGTTATTTAGATCATAAACTAATGCAAAAACAAGAAAATAAGTAAAAAAATCAACTCTATTGTTTGCATTTTGCGCTATTTCTACTACTGCTGCATTGTTCTCTTTCTTGTTTTGTGTTTATTGGGATTTGTTTTGTTCAACATTTGTTTGAAGAAATGCCTGAACGATGGTATTGACCCAATTTGCAATGTGACATAGTTGTTATAAATTATCATTTATAATGTGAAAATGAATAAAGTGTATATATATATATATATATATATATATATATATATTTTGTATATTAAAAAATTCAACCTTAGTAAATAATCAATATCAATATCTGTGAAAATGAATTAAAGTATAGTAATTATTAGTGAAAGTTGTGAAAATGAAATACTTAGATTAAATTAAATATAAATTAAAATAAATTAATAATACTACATTAATTCAAATTTCGCGAATGAATAAATATAAGTCATAATACAAGCATATTAATTAATATTATAACGTGCATAATATAAGTCATATGTTATAAAGTATCATTTATAATAGGATAAATTACTTAAATACACACTTTTATTTTTTATAATTTTCATTATTCCCTACTATTTTAAAATATCTCCAAAATCCCTTATTTTCCTTTCAAATCCCATTGTTCTAGATACATTAAGTTTCACATGCAAGCACACGTTTCTATTCCTAATTTCACTCCCTTAATCCCTCCCTATTTCACTCCCTTTAACCTCTTCCTATTTTCACTCCCTCAATCTTTACTTCTTTTATTTTTTAATTTTCAGATTTATTCTCTCTCCATAAGATTTTTCAAGAATCAAGTAAGTTTTCGTTTCACAATTTTTTTCGAAGAACTACCAGATTTCCTCCATTTCCACATTTTTACAAAATATATAAGGAAAAAGTGAAAGAGATGATGTATCCTTATTGCTCCTTGCAACATCATCGTTTCAATGACGTCTTTTGTTGATGAAATCATTTTCCATTGTTGACAGTGAGACAACGATACAGAAGTTGGTATAGAGCAAAGTAAAAGTGTAGGGGAATTTCTTGGTCATTTGTATTGTTGATTTA